CAACAGGAAGTGCAATTCAGCAGAAAACACAATGGGTGACTGACAATGTTGCGCAGAAGATACAGGTCTGTCTCATATGGGTATTGGACCATATCCTTGAGAGAACATAACTTTTGTGCAAAACGATACATATACGAACAATAAAAATAATAACAAACAATCATGCACAAACAGAAGTTCAATTGTTAACAAAATAAAATAATTTACTTCATTTACATTTCATTACATTTCCATTACAGAAGTAATTTGAAAATTTATGGAATCCATATTTTTTGGTTACCCTCTACCCTCATTCATTTATATTATTTTTCATTGTAATGTAACGAATATTTCAATACACACTTTATACAAGAAAAAAAAATGGATCACTGCTGTCAAAAAAATAACGACATGATATGAAATGCGAAGAACAAATTTTCGCCTAATAAGCAATTCGACTAGCCGTTATCTCCTTTTAACGAACCAGTGACGATTTATGACATTTGCAAATGACATCACTTACCCTAGTAAATTTGAAACTTTTTCATGCTATATGCCATATTTAATTTAAGTTTACTCATGCGATATTTTGATTAAACTAAAATGAAACATCTCCTGATACTTATTCTATAGTTTAGGGCAAAAGACGTCAAATCGACGTAATTTGTATTTCAAATTTTCAATGCTAGCTTATGTTTAAGCTCCTTTATTAATTAGGTGTTTATTTGTATTGCTCAATGGCGTTAATGATATAAGCTTAACTCCGAATTTAAACTATTTTAAAATCTTGTTGTCTAACTGAGATATTATATACCTGACAATAATTTGCAGGATGGCTCAATTGATGTACAGACAAATTCATTAGACTATTTATTTCAAATTCTTCTCACGAATAAAATATTATTCATTGCTAACAAACTAACTATAAACATATAAATATTTTTAGACCAAAAGTTTGGATGAATTTTTAATGATTTTCGTTATTTTAAATAAGAATATTTGCAACAGGTTGGTGTTATGCTGCTTATGACAATGATTTGAATTTCAAAAATTTCTTTTTCTTTTATAAAATCAGCATTATTAAAGCATGTTTTGTGTATGAGACGAGGTTTGGTTGGGGGTTTTGTTTGGGAGGTTTAAATTCGACAGGACCGGGCCGATAGTCAGCATCTTTAGAAACTACATACCTATTCTGATGCAGGTAATATTAAACTAATATTTTTGAAAAAGTAGCCTGAAATGTTTTTATGTAAAATTAGCTCCAATAAATGAAATCATGTTATTCTGTGCTAACCTTGTGACCGATAGGTTATTGTAATCGTAAGAGACAAACACTATTGAAAATTCATATATAATATAAAATTACGTCAACTAAATAAACATGACATTTGAGTCAAGCTACCGCTCGTTATATCTATAGTAAACGAAGCACACTATATAATATATATTGAAATATAATTCATTATTGAACACTAGATGGCAACACTGAAATTCTTTGCAATCTCTTTTGTGATATCAAATTTGTGGAAAAAAAAAATATATCAAATTTGTGACGTCAGTATAGGTAATAATTTTATAGTAAGACCATAAATTATGTTAAAGTAGATTAATTTGTTTGTCATACTTAAGTTTCAACGGGTAGAGAATTTGTTTCAAGAGGTAAATAGTCTGGAACGTGACAATTGTTTGAACAGTTAATGGGTCTTTCAATTTGTAGCAACATTTCAAATGATATGTTTCAAGTTTGTAAATTGGCATAAATTATATGTAGAGTCATTTCTTATCTTTCATGTAGATAACATTTTTCTATTCCATGTCATAATTATACAATAATATCAATCGTCGCCATTATCGCCGCATTGTAAAGCGTAACGATATGCACATGCTACAAGTTTCAAATAATATAAAATATTACGTCCTTGATTTTCAGCAATATATTTGTATAGTAAAAACTAGAAATAATAATGCGTAGAAAACTATAAAACACGGAAAAACCGAAGCTGATTCATGATGTTTGCGCATTGTTGAGTAAACATTTCAAACCCTACTTCCCGATGATTGTGTTATTGAATGTTAAATCCTGCAAACTTCAAAAAGATGACAGTTGTGAGCTATACCAATTTAGAATTGAGTATGTGTTATTGATAGGCATCTGATGTAGATGTTCAAAAAAAAATTAGTTTCACCTATTATAGACCGAAAATTACTGGCATAACTCTTCATTTTATTTTTTCAGTTTTCAGTCATTTTTTTAGAAAAATATGCTTTTGACGTTTTTTCTAACGTACTCAGGATAGTTTGCTTGAAGTTAATTGATGCATTTTTAGGATTCCGACTTTGTACCAGCGCACTTTGAGTTCAATTCTGTGAATAACCTACTGTTGCCCTTTATTGTCAGATGAAGTATTTACAAAAGTTGAAAAAAGTGGGGATGTGTTACCTCAAATGTTATTCTACACTTCACTCACTTAAAATTCTGCTATTTTATTATTTCTCTATATTTTGAATTCATCAATTCCATTTATTTAAGATGAAACTTTTAAATGTATTTGAAGTAGATGAAATTGTTTGCTAATATTCAAGTTATATGAGGTTCATCATGTCATATGTCGGCAGTTTTCTATTGGAAAAAATCCTTGAGAAGTGTTCGAATTCTGTGCCAAAAAATACATTTATTCAATTGAATGGTGGTATAAAATCTGTATACTAAATTAATCATAATTCGATGCTTCAACAATTTATCTGGAGATGAATAAATAAGTAAGCGACTACGTATACGCGGTAAGCTTTTCAAATGTACTTCTGAGAAATGTTTTAGAGCGTATACTGCTGATACTGCTTTTTATTATAAATATTAATGATTAATCTGTAGTTTATATCAGGGCTTCCCAAACTTTTGAGCTCGCGGCTCCTTTCAATATAATAAAATTTTCCGCGGCCCTTGTTCGCGCTAATAATGCTAAACAGCTCAAAATATGCATTTTTGATGTTTTATTGACACAGCTAATTCTCAACTTTTAGTAGGCCTACTCAATTACAAAAACAAGCACATACTTATTCAGATTAACGTAACGCAATTATTCAGTGTAATGGGTGCGAATACTTTTTGCTGCATAGCAAGTCCAGCCTTGGCTCAATGTTTGTTTATGCAGGCCTAAATGATGAATTACGATGTCTGGCCACCGACGGCATGGTCCTTTTCAGGAATTGTTCACTCTTATTGATCAAACTTAGCATAAGACAGCGGTTTGTGTGCCGCCAAATTATCATGGAAAAAAATCATGGCGCACCTACACGAACAATATGCTGCCTGATAATAAAACACAATTTTGTCATCGTTAATATGTACTTATCTTATCTCTGCCTGGTTTTTCTTCAAAATGCTAAAAAAATCATCCATATTCAGCAAATGAATAATTTGCAGCCTACGAAATTGCAGCATGTAGGATACCCGACGTAACAGAGCGTACTTAACATAGAACAGTAAAATGAAATTGATTCGTATATACATCATTGGCAACAATGAGAAACAATAAAACATTTGAAATAAATAAAATATGTAACACATTTCGAGGCGCACTTAGCAAATCGCCCTCGGTAACCGCTAGCTTAACGATTATTAAAGCCGGCATTGTTTATACAAGCCCACGCAAATCGGGGCTTTCGATCAGAATATGCATTGTTATGCAAGCGCAGTGATTCTACTGTGTTTTCCCGAAAATAAAACCAAACCTGAATTTTAGAAGTTATTTTAATATAAGCGCTTCCCTTTAAAAAAGACTTGGTCGATAGCGCAATTTTTTTTTACCTAATCCCGTGGAAGTGCGTCGTTTCAATTTTGCTAGGACGTCGCAAAATTTCGTGATTCGTGAACTTTTCAAACAACCCATATCTCCTACTTTTACAGAAAAAAGGGAAGACTATATCGATCTTACCTGTGATGGTGTTACAAAAAAAAAGTTTAATTCTGAAAATTCGTTTTTCTGTAGATAAAGATTATTTTTCTTGGTTCAAAAAGCGTTGCGGGCTCCTATCCCTATTGCGATTTCGTTTTTACAGACTTTCTACCAAGGCCCGTCAAATATGATTTCACTCAATGTCGTTATGTTTTGTTTGTTTCTTCATATGAAATTCATCGCAAAAAAAGTCTTTTATTGAGGAGTATCAATACCTATTTTTACGGGTAGTCGTAACTTGAGCATATTTTTGATGGGCGTCACAATACAATGAAGTTCGAGAACCACTACGTCCTAGTCGATAGCAAGAAATTTATACTCAGGAAAACTCTTTCTACATTTTCAATGGTTAATAATCTATATGTAGCAGTTATTTTAAATGAAGACGTGCTATTTATAAGTAATGGAAATCGGTATTCATATTTGGCATAATAAAAAATCTCGTTATTCTCTACATCACTCTAAAATAAGCCCTAGTGTTATTTTTGAAATAAAATTGAAGACACTGTCTTATTTACACAGTATGATAATGTGTTCATTAGGAGTCGTGAAATTTTTGTTTCACATTTTTTTTAATAATTGTATTTCGAATCAAGAGTCTGAAAAAGTACAATAGATAAAGTACTTTGTGTAAAATTGATGTTCTCTTTATACAAACATATATATATTCGAGAAAGGAGAAATGTAAAATAGAGAAACACAAAATACTTTTTTGTTTTGAGGTTATTGTTTTTGTACATTGGTAGCCTATTTTATGAATGAATGACCTTGAAATAAAATCATCTTCACTGAAGTTGAATGCTAAAAAATTTGAAACATTCAAATTCGATACAGATAAACACTTTTCAATAAAAGAACGTTTTGACTTCAAGAAGAACAGAAAATGCAATGATTTATTGTGAACTTGAAATGAATTATTTGATGTGTAGAAATTATTTTTGTTGTGTTTCTCATCTGCATATGCGGTGATTATAAATGTGCTAATTTCTTGAATGAAAATTTTGGTTCACATTGCTGCCAATTCATTTTATTTCTGGCTCTCATATTTCATGCTCTCTTTTCAGATTATTTTTTCATGACTATTTAACATAGTAATTATGGCAAACGTGGATTTGTCTACATACCGCATTAGAATCGGTCTATTTCGAGGCGGTTGTAGAACTAAAGAGAAGGGGACACCGATTTCCACTTTACAACTCTCGGATTATTCAACGGGACTGTCATTAGCAATTCGAACAGTTGTGTTTGCATTGCTTGCTGTTCACGGAATTGAGAAGAACCCGGGGCCGAGATCATCGGATCAAAATAGTGTAAATGAAGGATCTAGTGTTGACCCAGAAAGTGAGCTCACTTCTTACTTTAAAAATAAATATGCAACACGGAAGTTCAGTTCATTTTCAAAACCGCGATATCTAAAGATTTACGGATATCAGTTCAGATCGTATTATTTGTCTTATATTGTAAATAAATGCCAACTTTTCTGCACAAAATTTTCGATTCACTTTTGCAACCTTTGACTAAAGAGCTAATCACGGACCTCAAACTCAATTTACCTAGCGGCGACCATTGGATGCAGAGACTGGGTAGGTCTGGGCCGCATCATGTTTTCCACAATTAAAGATTAGCTTAAAATAATCAAATAATTTCAAGTTTCCTTTTTTTTTTTTCAACAAAAAAACAACAATGAACAAATTCAGACTAAATAAAAATAATACCTGAAGATGTCAAGAATTAATTAGTGATTGTGACGTGTTAAATCCGAGTAGTTATAATTAAATATATTAATCATTAAACATGCGAGCTTAGTTGAGTGACACACTGACATTAAACTTAATACTAAGTCGGGGGCTATAAACTGTTGTCCTGCGGGCCGCAATTTGGCCTCTGGGTCGCGAGTTTAAGACCCCTGAGCTAATTCAAAGTTGGAAAACAACTTACAGTTGTTTTACTGGCATTCAGTAATTCTTTGAAATGCCATTATCTAGTTTATTGGTGATTTTTACCTCTTTTGGAGTATGTGGAGCGCTTTCGTTTGAAAAAGGAATCAATCAATTCAATCAGTAATCAGTAGTTTATTTCCCATCGAACTAAAGAGACAAACGAATTGCAATAAATTATCAGGGTGAAGGAGACGAAAAACTAATACTGGTTATCAATCAGTGACACCCATAATAGTCAAATAATTATTTATTCCCTTTTAAAATAATTTTACCTGAACTAAAAAATTACTTCTAGGCTTAAATAAAACTGTCTAACCGAGAAAACAGACGGTCCGAAAATAAAAACATTTTTTAGTTTATCTCAATTATCAATATTACAGAAAGTTATGGAACGATTTTCAAATACAATACAGAATACAGATGTTAAATTGGCAACCAATATTATGGAAGTTTTAAATAATACTAGAAAATCAATTAAAATTTGCACTGATCATAAATTTAAAATGTATCAAAATTAGAACTCAAATTTTCCCAGCATCAGACTGCAATTTTTCAGACAAATAAATTAATACATTTCTAATAATTATTGATGTGGTATTTTACGAATAAAAATATATATTTGCATTAAATAATGAATACTTTTTCAGTGTCTGCAATCACCGAACTTGACAATGCTTTCTACGAGACAATAGACAAGTTTTCACTGCAACAATTCAAAATATTTGCTCAATCAAAAAATGGTCTCGTCCTCAGTTATCGAGAAGTTAGTGATATCACGGAGCACAGCTTGGAACCAGTGGATGAACAAAAATATGCTGTTCTATCCCTATGGAAAGAGAAAAATGGTTAGATAAACATTTTTAGATTTATAAGATCTTTCTTTAAAATTTAGATTTGTTCTTCTCTCTGATAACATTTACAACATATATATTTAATCAACCTATCCGAATGACGAGAACTAAAGCCAATTTTTATCATAGATTTACTCTAATAATATTTTGTCACTATATTGTCTTAATAAAAGTAAAGTAAAACAATTTCTTCTCATCCTTTTCTGCAACTCAGCAATAAGGTTTTAAACTTTAATTTATTTTTCAATCTCAAGTACAAACTGACAATTATCATTTGCTCATTTCCATATAAATTCTATATTGTAGTAAAAGTATTATTGTATTTATGTTTGTGAACTGTATGCGATATGACCATTTATTATAAAATAATACAGGAATAAACGGAACCGCGGGAAGAATAGGAGAAGTTGTTAACAATTTCATTAGGCTCGAGGCAAGAAAAGATGTCATTGAAAATTTTGAACCAGGTATAGAAAAAACGATTTGCAATCATTACATTACGCGGATTTAGAGTTGAAATTCAAGTACCCATTACAATCTTACCTGTTATATGTTATGATGATATATAACAGGGGGTGTGGCCCCAGTACATGGTGTTGTTTCGACACAAAATTGACCAGAAAGTTTTTGCACATATTGTTACATCACTAATGTCACTGAATTGACTACTGTTATGGCTAGCTGAAGCAATTAGCAAAGGTGAATGATGTGCTTGGCAGTCGAAATTGTTATTCAGCATTCTACTATTTGGACGGGAATATATGCAAATAATTTTGGTTGGTATAATCGAATGTTGGTATCATCATTTTGTTGGTTTCATAGAAAACTAGAAATCGAATACAGACTTATTGAACTAGATTAATGTTCATTAATCAGCCTAAACAGTATTCCAAAAATCTGCATATATGTCTGAAAATTCAGTAATTACTATCCTGTACATCACATGTTTTAGCTTAATAAATGACAAAAACAAATAAGCGTGTTTGCACAATGAAACTGTTTGTTTTGTATTGCACTGTTTATCTATTATTGGCACTATTGTGGTCCGCAAACAATACCAAAAAATTATTTTATGGCCCCCCTGAGCTGACAACCTTGGACCACCCTGATATATATATATCTATAAATATATATATCATTTTGCATAGACAAAATATTCAATACTTAAAAGCCCCCGATAGGATACCGGATACCACCATGTGATCACACGGGAGAACATCATTTTAATATTCGATTTAGTAACGTTATTAATATCAAAACCATGGGCTGCCAATAAATACGATATACCATTTTAGAAAGTTTTTTTCGTAACAAAAAACGACGAAATTCCATTCCAGAACGAATCTTTGGGTCAAAAATGTCGTTAAAATTAACGAATTCAAATTATCACATTGATATATTTCAGGTGCAAGATTTGAAGATGTTTTTCTCGATTTACCGAGAAATTTTTTTGAACATAGCTGAGTTCAAACGTTTCGCATTATCGAAAAATGGATTGGTATTAAGCTTGACCGATGTTACCTCGATTGAAGACGATACAAAATACTCATCACTTGATCAAATGCTTAGCATGCTTTGGTTGTGGAAAGAAAACGCTGGTAAGAATTTCAGAAAGTAAACATAATGAAATATAATGAAATGCTTTCGCATCAACTGTTTTCTTATCGAGTCCACGCCCTCGATTTCGTTCAACCTTTTTGTTGTATGGAAAAAATTTCTCTTCGACGCCAAACTGAATTTTCGAGAATGAATGTATAAACAAATGTCGAAGCTCTATAATGTTAAAATTAAAAGCTTGTTACGAACAATTTGATGATGTCACAGAATGCTCATAATGAAGCACTGTACTTTTTAGGTTTAATATGAAAATTATTCTAAGTTTCAGCACTACAGTATTTATGTCGGCCGAATGAGATTTTCCGATTATAACCAGATTGTTACATTAGCAACACGTTAGGAACTAATGAATGTGTTTACTATATTTAGGTAATTCCGCATCGACGACGCTTATTATGGAAATACTCAATAACTATAAAGAAAATCAACATCCACATTCGGATGTTCAAGGTGAATATTTATCTAATTTATTTTCTTAAATGGAATTACAACACTGTCACGGAAAATATGAAATGAGCAAAATGTAAAATATTAAATGTACATGCAGTCATAAAACCTTTCAATGCTAGAAATGATCTGACAAAAACCTTGGATTTTTAGACGAAAGAATTGAAGACGCCTTTCTCGAAATTATCGAAACGATTCACAACCTATCCGAGTTCAGAGAATTCGCACGATCTAGCAATGGATTATCATTGAATAGCGTCGATGTTACTATGATTGAGCAAGATTCCAAATCGATTTTCGATAAAAAGCTTAGTATGCTTCGACTGTGGAAGCAAAATGCTGGTGAGTGGTTGAATTCTTTTTATACGACAAGTTTTCAATTTTTTCGCTTTGAACAAGGCTTTGTGTAAGCATTACACTATATTTAAGAACTTCATATTATTACACGGAAGAACCATAATCTTTCTGGTCGGCATTGCCAAAACCAATTTATTGCATCCAGATGGGTGGCTGGAATTTTAACCAGAAATGTGTAATCTGAGTTGCCAACACATTAACCATCTTCATCGCTTCCCAATTATATTCGTTCAATTTTTATGACAGACATATATGAAATTCCATGCCCATTATGATAAAAGATTAATTAATTGCTCAGATGAAAAATATGTAGTTTGTCCAGTTGGCAATCACTTGCAATAAAATGAGCACAGAAGATAAACTTGATATTTCAGTGTTACATAATTGCTAAATGGGGTGGTTGGCTCTTTCGTCTACGTCAAATCTTTACTTTTTCTTATATTAAACTTGTACTATTGCTCAATGAATACGTGTTATTCTAGATAATCTTGCAACGGCAGCAACGATCAGAGATCTAGTTGAAAAATTTGGAAACGTTACGCATCCGACATCATACCAAGGTAAACTGTAGATTTATACAGAGTGTAACGGTAAAACTAGTTTTTTAAAATACAGTTTTTATTCCCTAATCAATTTTGTAAGTAAATTGGACCATCCAATAATATTTGTTATTGCTGTTTATTTTATGATACCACCTTCCAAAA